TATCACTATTATTGCAATAATGACAATTTTAATAAAAGGAGGAATCTGATACTTATCATTAACTAAAGCCTCGCCAGCGCATACTGCTTGTCTTTCACGCCTTGCTCGATTTCGCTGGCTTTTAAGAAGGATACTAAGAACTTTTAGTTGTAGATATTCATCACGATAATAATTTCGTTCCAGTGTGATATTATCGCGTTCTGTTTGCAAATCTGCAATAATTTGTTGCTGGATATTATATTTGCGCCGAATTTGTCTTGTGGTTCGTTTTATTTGGTTTTGTAAAATTTGCCTGTCTTGAGGCGTTAAATATCCATCTATGGCATCAACTAATTCTAGGACTGTAGCCATTTCTAAGTCTTGATTATAAATATCTGAATTTGTATTATCTGAATTTTCACTATACGAGTTATTTTCTTTTAATATGCTATGTAGATTTTGATTTATGGCTTCAGCAGTTTGTAAAGCATCTCGCGTATTTTGAAGTTCATGCCTATCACGATAATGTAATAATCTTATAGCGAAATTTTGGCAGTGTAAATCTGTAATACGAATTTTTTGCCTAGCTATTTGATTATTTCGTTCTGTAAGATATTGCCTTAATCTATCATTCTCATTACGGAGTTGTTCTATTGTATCCGTCATTTCCGTTAACTGATTATAAGTTTGAGGAGAATTTCTTCCAGATGTGGTTAGTTCTTTGATCCGTACTTTGAGCTTTGATCCTCGTTCATCAAACTTGGCTAATTGATTTTCTCTAGTGGTAAGATCCTTTTCTTTTTGCCGGATTTCTTTTCTAGCTTGATATAACGATTTTTTTTAGATTAGAGATTTCTTTTTGTAATTCATCCTTCTCTTGGCTGGAAAGTGAAAGAATACTTTCAAGCTCATTTTCCAAAAATTGGATTCTTTTCTCACGTATAACTATCTGTTTTTCGAGACTGTAATTTATATGCTCATAATTCCGATTTGATTGTGCCAGTGTAATTCTTGGTTAAGTTGCCGTAATTCACTCATGGTTATTTTTTTTTACTGATTAATAATACTCGAAAGGAATGGATCAACCTGTAATTTATATTGACCCACAGAGGGCCCGCGATTTAGATAAGGAGATTGCAATGCAGAAACTATATTACCGACCTACAGGGTACTATCGAACTATTGAAAAAATGCATAATGCGTCACGTATAGCTGGTTATAATTTTTCGTTAACAGATATTAAAAACTGGTTAATTAAACAGATCACTTTTTTGGTTCATAAACCTCGACCAAAATTTATTCAGTATGCTTCTTTTAATAATATACAGAGGTTAAATGAAATGCATCAATCTGATCTTACTCCTATGCCTTATGATAAAATTGGAAATCGACTTTTTAAATATAGACTTGTAATAAAAGATGTGGCAACTAGATATCGAAAAAGCTGTGCATTAACTAATAAATCAGCTTCTACAGTTGCTAAAGCAATTAAGAAAATTTATGAGGATTCTAGTCATTCACTTTCTTGGCCTAACGTTTTTAGAAGTGATAAAGGTACTGAGTATTTAGCTGAGTGTAAAGATTTATTATTAAGTCATGACGTATATTTCGATCCCAAAAAATCCAAACGTAGTAATGCAATTGGTGAACGTGATCATCAAGAATTTGAAAAACATGCTTATATTCGTCAAGATGCTGTGGATTTCCTTTTACCTTTATCTGAAAGGTGTCGATCATGGGTTAAAGGACTTCGTTTAAATGATGATATTTATAATGATACTCCTACCCGATTAATTCATATGTCTCCAAATGAAGCTGTGAAGAGAGCTTTAAAAGGTGAAAAAATTATCGCTGATCCTGCAGTCAAACATCGAAGGCCTATTGGATTTGATGAACCTCGATTAACCTATAAAGATTCTGTTTTATATTTACTTGAACCCGGAGAATTAGAATTTGGTAAGAGACGCATAACTGACATGAACTGGTCTCCAAAAGTTTATCGTATCAAAGAATCCTTAATACAAAAAAATCAACCGGTGTTATACTGGCTTATGGATGAAAATGGTGATGGTCCCGAAAGATCATTTGTAAGAGAACAATTGATGATAGTTAAGGAGGTTGAATATCCACCTAAATGGATCCTTGCTGAAAGCAGTCACACAGTGGCTAAACATTATTAAATTTTTAAATTATTCTGAAAGAATGAGCTCTGCTCTACTCGTCTATAAGTACATCTTCAACAGCTTCCTCAATTTCTGTTTCAGTCATAGGCCTATCTTTTTTGGATAGCTCATAATAAAGATTATATAAATCTTCTACACTTGTAAGTAGCTCCTTTTTACCTTGATACCATTTTCTATATCTTGACATTCTTTTATTATATGCTTCTTCATTTGGAAATAGTGTTATTGCTGTATATTTTATATACTCATCTTGGTTTTCTGCATTACGCAAATTTTTTACATATCCAGCATATTCACTAATAAGCTTACTATCTTTTCTATATCGAAGACGAAAAGCTTCTTTTATTATTTTAATTTGTGCTGATTCAATCATTTTCCATGTAATAGCTTCCTGCATCGTTAACTCTGAGCCCTGTTCATTTATTAAACTTGAATTATTGTCTATCATACTTGGTTTATACTTACTCTGTATTTTGTTTTATATAATATAAATTTATTCAATACGAGTTTTATTATCCCACCTTCTCATAATTTCATTACTCGAAGCTAGATTATTTCAGTTATCAATATATTATTTTCGACTGGATAGCTATATATATCTTTTTTCGAACATGTGAGAAAAAAGGCAGTTATCTTCTAAATGAGTTTTATAGCTTACTCATCTATTACCAAAAACTAGTCTTCGTCAAATATATCTTCTATAATTTGAGATGCAATATCATCCTCACTTCGTGAGTCAACTTCTATTTTATTAATTTCATTTTTCGGATAATTACTCACTAATTGATTTAGTATTTTATCTGTTATTCGTTCACAATTTTGTATTTTTATAGTTTTTATACTTGTACATTTTTCTGGTATACTTAAGACAGTTTTTGGTGCTATTCGATTACTTCCATAGATAAATATATGGTTTAGATTCTTGCACGTATCCAATGTCATCTTTAGTGAACTATTGTTAAGAAATCCCCAACCACAATCCTTAAATGATATAGTTATTATACTTTGGCATATACTTACAATGTCTTCTAATTGAAATTCATTCATATTAAAATAATTATCTATTCTTTCAAATTCTATCTGTTTTAAATATTTTATTGCATTCGGTAATGGTTTCTTTTTTATTAATTCGACAAAATTTCTAATATTATATCTATATAATGTAATTCTTCTCCATATTAAATATGTTGCGCATTCATTCCATCGTTTGTTAACATATAAAACTGGAAACAATAATTCATTATTACCACACTGCGAAGCAGGACACTTCGTGTCTAATCTTTTACTTTGTGTTCGTAAATGTTGAAATATTTCTATTATAATTTCATTCGGAAGATTTATATCAGACTTTTTTGATAGTTTCCCTTTTATTATCTGTAAAGCAGGATACTCTGTATCTAACTTTGTATTCTGCTCTTTATCTTGTTGTATTTTCTCAAAATCTGGTAAACTATCTGTAATCAAATTTGGAATTTCCGGATATGACAGTTTCCATATAACTGATATACAATTTTTTACTACACAAACTCCTCTTTTTTCGAATTTTAGCTCACCCATTTCTATACCTGTTTTGAGATTTACTTGTCCTGCTACTATAAATCCATCTGTATGAATGCGCTTTACTTGATCTCCTAATGGTCTCACAATTTCTGATATTCTTTTCCGTGCTGATGCTAATAAGAATGGTTTTATTCGTGGATGTGTACCATAATTTTGTCCATTTCGTTGCTCACATAAGGCACCCCATAATGAAACTAATAATGCTTTGCTTACTTTTCCAGCTGTTTCTCCTTCTTTCTTAATGTTATATAAAATATTACCCCATTCACCAAACATGTCTTTTCCTGTTATACGTACATTCCTTTCATAATAAGCGCATTTGATGATATATTCATTAATGTTACTTTCAATCCATTTTTTCGTGTGCATTCCAAATCATAATGTGTGTAAATCCCATGTGGATTATAGCGCAAATATCTCGTGCATTGAAGACTTTTCTTTGGTGGATT